TTGAAGGTGAGATTTTTTTTTTTTTTTTTTTTTTTGCTTTCTACCCACACAGCCTTTTTGTCATCCAGAATGAAGGAAACATTTCTGAAGTAATAGCATGTTTATGTGGCTGTATCACTAAGTAAAGAGATGCAGATAGAATGGAGCCATAAAAACTAGCGTAATACTGTAGAGAGCATGGAGATGAAAGAAAAACTTAGTTATTGCTTATTCTGATTCTGCTTTAGTTAAAAATACTCTTACGTATGTTCAGATAAAACAAGAATAATAGCTGATTGTTGATATAAAGGAAGGTGCAAGGGTGATTAATGTTTAAAAAAAATATGATACAATTTCATGGAGCTCTTTGACTGCTGAGCTTACTAAACGACATGCAGAAAGTCCCTCGCCTGCAAATGTCTCACGCTTAGCTAGGGAAAGCCCTAAGAAATATATCATAAAAAATATTCACAAATTTAACTCCTTTTTAACTTCAAATGTAGTGATAGGCATTTTCTGTTTCTAATCCAAGAGAAGGTAGAAGATTGCAATTCCCTAGATACAATTTTGGCCTTGTGAAGAAGGAAACATCAAGACAAAACCTTTTGCCACGGTTACATGCAATCATCAGAGACAGTGCTACACAGGGCATTTGTACTTCCAAACCTGCTGCCAGACCATATTTAAGTCAACTCCAGCCAACTTCTTTGGCCCTGTCCTGCTGTGATTTTCCCAAGAATATTAATTGACACAATATTGATTGCAAATACCGATCTTCGTGTCCAAATAGGTGTCCGGACTCACTAGCAATGAGGAGGTTTACATGTTTTACACGCTATAAACATACTGCTGTTTTGCTCTTTCCGGTCTATAGTATCTCTAAAAATTAGAAGGAAAAGATCCTGAACTTCATCAGAATACATTGAAACTGAAAAATGAATACAGTGCTCCTGCCGAAGCCTGAGATTCAAAATTCAGATCTGGATCTTTAACATTGTAAAGCTTTGGCTCTCTGGATCTGATTTATCGGGTGCATCTTACCCTGGGACAGAAAGAGGGACCCCTGAGGTGTAGAACATCTGCAGTCTCTTTCTGACTGTTAGGAGCTGTACTTCCTCCGTGACACTTAAAATTTTAGCATCAGTCAGGAGTTAGTAATAGGCTGTGACTACTGTCAAAACAGGCACCAGCACATGCATTATTTAACTAGTAAGACACAAATATGTTTTGAATTAGTCAGGCTTCCAGGTAGGTTGAAATATTTGGGGATTTCTTAAATGTGATGATAGACTTCAAATAGGACTTTGGCCCTTCGGTCTCATGGCTTTTCTGGCCTAGCCGTGTACCTGGAGGAGTTCTGGGTGACAACCCTCATCCAAAAAAAGAAAATAAAAATCATTGTATCTTGTAAATTTGTTTAAAAGATTTTTAGGAGAGAATCTGGTGGGTTTACAATTCAAGGAAAAAAAAAAATAACAAAAAATCCTGCTCAAACACTTACCCCTAGTTACATTCCAGTCTGTCCATATACTGATAAAGCGATGGTTCAATTTACCTGCCAGGTCTTCATTAGCAGTTTTCTTATTCTGTATTAGACGTTAGTATTAAGTGTGCGCACATCAGGATGTTCGCAGAGTTAAGACTGCTTCTGCAGTGTTAACACATGACGTTGTTTCTTTTAACGTTGTTAAAGGGA